GTGCAAACTATTCACTGACATGGAGGCGCACCATGAAATTGCCAGTCAATCTTGGCGACTATTTACCAGTAATTTACCCCAGATTACCGCAGAGTGCTCGAAACCTACCGAGAATCTAAAACCCCACCAAGTGGCAGTAGGCAAGCCGTCAAACGTCCACCAATAATGCCAATTCCCGAGAGGACGCTCAAGCAGTCAATCAACAACTCAGCAACGACTTATGAATGTTCAGGCACCGCACAGAAGCACGACCGACGATTTCAGCGTTTAGGTATTTCGTCGAAGCACGGTCGGTGAGGATGTGCGTTCGCTAATCGCCCATCAGACAGACTAGATCAATGTCAAATGTGTTCTTTAAATACCGCGAAGGCATTGCAACATTTACGCTCCCTGGTTCGTAATAAAGCTGTGGTTTCCGCGTTAGCAAGTTTTTATTCTACGCGAAGTTACTGAGGCTGGTTACAAAAGATACAAGAAAGCGAATTAAAGATAGATTCACATATTATTTCCATTCCATCGAACGTATTCTAATTTTGCAAATTCAGAATAGTGCAAGTGAGGTAGTACGTTCAACGCTGCGCATGGTTAGTGATAACAAACTTCCATTATGAAACTGATGCGGGTAAGATCTACGATTCGTGGTTCAAACATTCCGAAAATATTTTCACAGTCGAACTCAAGCACAAGGATGATGCCCAGTGAGTGCGCCTTTTGCTCAGAAGACTTGGTAAAGCGGCGCGCACAAGTTATTCGAAATCTACCCTGAGCTTTCGCGTAACCGTGCAGCAAATCTCACGCATTTTCGCTAAGCTTTCACCTTTACTTATTATTCGCTAGCGATGTATGCAATTAACGAAAAAAGTCAAATTTAGCGAAAAACTTTCTCAACAATACCGGTCAAATTAATCGTGCAAAATATTCAAGGAGACGGAGCAGTATATTTAATTTTTTCATCACCGTCTCGAATATTGACCAGTTGGACACAAAACTGTGACGTGACCAGAGATCACCACACTTAATTCCGACTCCATCAAACAGTTCCCAATTTCATCAAGTCGAGCAAGTTCAACGCTGCGCATGGTGATTAGCAAGGGAGGAATAAATGGCATCACTGAGAGCATTTGATCAGAAGCTACCGAATATTTATTTGACTTCGTTTCTTCTTCGTTTCGTCGTAGGGAATGGCCTAGTGGGGACATCACACGGTTCTGTATACCCACTCACTATTACGTACTTCCGGTTGACTTTGAAATACGTGCCTCATGCAATTCTGATCTATTCGCCTTTTATTCATGCATCAGCTTTGTCAATTGGAGATTAGTGGACACATTTGTGCCCTTCAATGCAGGGCTGGTGACCACGACACCGATGTTCCTTGGTACGGTTCTAGTTTAGGGCTTTGCAAATCAATATTTGGCCGCAAAACATTTACCCAAACATTCAACATTTTTGACTACTACTCATTCAGTGGGTCTTGTGAAAATACAATTTCAATATCTCCCTCATGCAGAAACGGGGAAGAGGAATCCCCCTGGATTTCACCTGAAACTTCCCATTTATTTCATTCATTCCGGTTATACACCCAGTATTCTTGTCTTTGACTCAACTGAAATTGAACGGAAATGTGGTTAAAATTATCATCGAAAGATATCTATAATTAACCGGGGTTCACATTAGTACGTATTTGATGTATTTGGGCATGCATCACAAGGGTAAATGCTGGGAAGAATGACTAGAGAAGAATGAATTATCAAAAAGACCACATACATTAGCAAACAATCGCCTACCATAATATTTACAAAGTTGACCAAAAACAAACCTGTTTTCAGTGAATCAACTGTTCAAACAAAATGTTTACTGTGTTCCACGAGGCAAGGCAAATAGCAGATTGTTGAATTTCTCACAACCATCTTGTAGGTCATGTTGACCTATTGTACGTGGTCAAAACGAGCCATGCAATGATGACTCTCGGAGAATGAAGGATATATGAAGAGGCCGAGATTTGAAAAGCCATCTGGTACTTGTGAAGGAAAAGGCGATGAACCCTCGACGGTAAGCTACGCGTTTCCCGGTTCCTTCACTGTGCTAGCGTATCACAAGAATAGGACGCCTCGTTCGCGCATCGCTGAGTATACTGTGTGCTTTTTAACTAATTCTTGACGCGTAACTCCTAAAATAAATTTGATAATCCTTCAAACTATTCCAAATTCTGACCTCCTTAAATATGTCTGCATTTCTACGATCATCCGCCTGTTATATGTTGAGTGTATTCAGTAGACAGTTTGCACTTGTTGGATGGGATTTTCTATCTATTTCAGGTTTCCGAAGTGCAGACCTCAATTACTGGTTTTGCTTTTTACCGCTGGTAAGCTCACCATCGCAGCCCAATTTGCTAGTTATTACCTCCTTTTGGGCTTCGTCATCGTTCTCTTAATGGGTCACTACATGAGCGCAGCTCAATTTTGCCATGTCTTTTGCTTGGAACATTTCAGGTCTGACATTTGTTGATGTTGCACACGTGGACAAACGCATAGTTGGTGGAACGAACGTAGTCCAAGGCACCTACACATGGGCAGTGAAATCAACTTATTTGTGGAGTGACCAGTCCATAAGTATATGTTCCGGTAGTATTTTGTCAAATAAATGGATACTAACGGCTGCTCACTGTTGTGTTCATCCACACCGTCAAGTTATTCGTTCGGTCATTGAAGCAGGGAACCCGAATGTAGCGGTAAGTTAGCTGTGTACAGAATCTCGTTCACTGTTGTGCCATTCCAAGCTA